GGGCCGGGGGGGGTGTTGCTTCCTGCTGCTGCGCCGGGCTGGGAGAATTAAACCTGAAAGTCATTGTGAGTGGGGCAGCTGGGGGCCGTGGCGGGGAGGGGGACACAGCTGGCCCCGTGCTGACTTCAGCCACCCCAGTAGGGTCTGGCTTCCCTGGCGAGCACAGCACGGGCTCTCCTGCCTGCCCGCCTGCCTGCTCGAGAGCAGTGTGTCTGGCAGGGGTGGCAGGAAGGTGCTTCCCAGCTCAGCTGTCCTGGCCGGGGCTGGCAGCATGGTGGAGTGCCTGGTGGGTTGTGTCCCCCGCTAGAGCTGGGGCATGCAGCCCTGTTTCCCTCTTTTAGTTGTGCTCAGCCTTTTGCGAGCCTCTGGTTTGATCTGGGCTGGCTGGCTCACGGGGAGGGAGGGTCCCCCATGGCCTCAGGTTGGGGGCACCTCAGCAGAGCGCTCTGCTGTGCCTCTGGCCCAGGCATAGTGGCAGCCAGTGCCGCTGGGGTGATGTCTTGCACGTGTGGTTGAAGCCTGGGAGCAGTTCCTGCAGAGGAACCGAGGTTGGTGCTGCTGTGGGGACAGGGGGACGGGGAGGGTGCAGGCTGAGGTGGGGTGCAGTGCCCCAGGGCCAGATGTTCTCTCCCTTCTGCAGGACCCGGTACATCAGCACAGAGCTGGGGATGCGGCAGCGGCTCTTCGTGGGTGTGCTGACCTCCAAGAGCACGCTGAACACGCTGGGGGTGGCTGTCAACCGCACGCTGGCCCACCGCTTGGAGCGCCTTGTGTACTTCACAGGCACGCGGGGCCGCAAGGTGCCCCACGGCATGACGGTGGTGACGCACAGCGATGAGCGGCCCATCTGGAACATGTACCAGACTGTCAGGTACCTTCTGGACCACTATGTGAACGACTTCGACTGGTTCTTCCTGGTGCAGGATGATACCTACACGGAGGCACACCGCATCAGCCGCCTGGTCGCCCACCTCAGCATCGATACCCACCTCTACCTGGGTCGCCCCGAGGAGTTCATCGGTGGGGACACTGAGGGACGCTACTGCTACGGGGGTTTTGGCTACCTGCTGTCCCGCAGCCTCCTCCTGCTCCTGCAGCATCACCTGGAGAGCTGCCGCAATGACATCCTCAGCGCCCGGCCCGATGAGTGGCTGGGCCGCTGCATCATCGACTACACGGCCGTCAACTGTGCCGAGGAGCACGAGGTAGGTCCTGCGGCAGAGATGGCCTCCAGGAGCCTGATCCTGGCCCAGCATGTTTCCTTGCCTCCTCAGGGGCTCCTGGCCTGGGGGACCAGCCCTTGTGCCCTATCCTCCTTTGAGCTTGCTGTGCTGGCAGCCGGTGGGATGGGAGTGTGGGTCAGGGCCAACCGTGACCTGTCTCTCCTGGCTGGCGCAGGGCCTGCGTTACCACTACTTCGAGTTGGGGAACAACGCGGACCCCGAGCGGGAGACCGACCTCCGTTTCCAGAGCGCCTTCACTGTCCATCCTGTGCTGGATCCCCTCCAGATGTACCGGCTGCACAAGTACTTTGCGCAGGTGGAGCTGGAGAGGACGTACCAGGAAATCCAGCAGCTCCAGGTGAGGCCTGGCTTGGCTGGGAGGGTCTGGGCTCCTCTTGTCATCCCTGTGGGCTTTCTGGTATCACCTCTCCACTCTAATATGAGGGTTTCTCACATGAACCTGCTGTGGGATGGGATCAGCTGAGCCCATGTGGCTGCAGGGGCAGTGGTGCTGGCTGGAGAGCAGCTTTGGACCCAGATGGGTCCTGGAGCTGCGGTGGTGGTTCAGGGTGCTAAGGTCCGCCTGCAAAGGCCAGGCAGGGTGGGAGAGGGCGTGGATTCTGCCAATGCAGGCCACATGCCATATTTGGGGTGCTGTTTGGAGGAAACCTGAGGTGCTGGACAGGAGTCAGGCTGAAGACAGAGTTGTTCTGGCACTGCTCTTTAGGCCAGGAGTGGCTGATCTCTGAGGATTGGGAGTCAGCTTGCCTGCAGCCAGAGTTGGAAGGCCTACCTGCGCCTGCCTTGGCTCTCACTCCTCCGTCTCTCCTCTTGCAGCTGGAGATCCAGAACGCCAGCAGCCTGTCCGCAGATGGGGACCACGGCGCCACGTGGCCTGTTGGCATCCCACCCCCCTTCCAGCCCAAAACCCGCTTCGAGGTGCTGCGCTGGGACTACTTCACAGAGGAGCAGGTCTATGCCTGCGTGGACGGCTCCCCCAAGTGCGAGCTGCGTGGCGTGGACCTGGCGGATGTGGCTGACGTGGTGGCCATGGCCATGGAGGAGCTGAACCGCAAGTACCAGCCGGTGCTCCATGTCCGCAAGCAGCAGTTGGTGAACGGGTACCGGCGCTTTGACCCCACCCGTGGCATGGAGTACACGCTGGACCTCCAGGTGGAGGTGGTCACCCAGAAGGGGCACAGCCGCTCTGTCACCAAGCGCGTGCACCTGGTGCGGCCCCTCAGCGAGGTGGAGATCATCCCTATGCCCTACGTGACGGAGGCCAGTCGCATCAACGTCATCCTGCCACTGACAGCCCATGACCGGGACCACGCTGCACGCTTTTTGGAGGCTTATGCGGCGGCCGCCTTTGAGAGCAGCGAGAACGCAGTGCTCACCTTCCTCTTCATCTATGACCCCTTTGAGGCCCAGCAGGTCACCCAGAATGACATCTTTGCCCCCGTGAAGGCCCAGATCACTGAGTACGAGCGCAAGTATGCAGAGGTGAAGATCCCATGGATCAGCGTCAAGACAGACGCACCCTCCCAAATCAAGGTCATGGACATCATCTCCAAGAAGCATCCCGTGGACACGCTTTTCTTTGTGGCCGGCGTGGGGACGGAGGTCACTGTTGACTTCCTGAACCGCTGCCGGATGAACACCATCAATAACTGGCAGGTCTTCTTCCCCATCCACTTCCAGGGCTACAACCCTGCCATCGCTTACCACAACCAGGTGCCGCCCACCACGCTGGACCTGCTGCGGGATGCAGGGCACTTTGACCGTGATGTCTTCCACGAAGCCTGCTTCTACAATGCTGACTACATGGCGGCACGCACCCGCATGGCAGGTGACGTTCAGGAGAACGAGGACATCCTGGAGACCCTGGACATCTACGACATGTTCATAAAGTACTCCAACCTCCACGTCTTCCGGGCTGTGGAGCCCGCCCTGCTGCAGCGCTACCGGCACCAGGCCTGCAACCCCCGGCTCAGCGAGGAGATCTACCACCGCTGCGTGCAGAGCAGCCTGGAGGGCGTAGGTTCTCGCTCCCAGCTGGCCATGGTGCTTTTCGAGCAGGAGCAGGGGAACAGCACCTGAACCCTGGGGCGTGGAGGGGCTGGCCCTGCCCTGCCTGCCTGCCCCACCTCTTCTGCTACCCATGTCTGTCTTCCTCTTCCCGGCAGCTGCAGGGACCACTGGCACCTGAGCTTGTGACTCGCCCCGCTGGGGCTGACCGGGCCGGGGTCTGCCAGCCTGGGGTGCCCAGGTCCTTCCAGAGCGGCCGCCGCTGTGCAGACCCCAGGGTGAGGTGGGGTCAGAGTCGCTGAGCTGTAAGCCGGGACGCCCAGCTCCTCACCCTACAGCTGCTGGCCGACGGCCCCATCTACCCCCTCCCGGCCCCACTGCCCAGTGGGGAGGTGATGGGCTGCCCTGTCCCTTGCTATCCCCCCTCAACTGGGGGCACACAGAGCCCAAGGCCCCCCTGCTGCGGGGCCATGACTGCCACGGGGCTGGCGGCGGTCCCTCACGGTTCCCCCAGCACCCCGGGACAGGGCTATGCCCCTTGCTCCTTCAGAGCGTTGGCCCAGTTGTGCAGGCAGGGCTGCGTCCCTGTGCCCGCCACAGGCTTGGACAGTGGGATGGGGCATGTCCCACCCCAAAAGAGCAATAAAGAGGTTGGTTTTGGGGTTTTGCCACTTGGCAACGAGCTGGAGCGCTCCTGGCTGGTCGGGGTGGGGGGGTCCTGGTCTCTGGGCCAGTGGGCGCAGGGGGTGCTGGAGGGGATCCTGCTGTATTCACATACCATGAGCTGCTCCCCATGGGAACCATGACCCAGGCCGCTTTGGCCTTCGCAGTATCAATAGGACGTCAGAGGTCGCAGCCCTCGGACGAGAACCTCCTGACAGAGGTGGGAGCCCTCCCCGCCACGGGGCCGCCCTTGGGGGCGGGGGATGCGGTGCCTGGCTTGGTGGGCACGGCAGAGGGTTTGGCTGTGCATCTCCTAAGGAGAAAGCGACTGAGGAGCCGCTCTCTGCTCCTGGTTTGTATTTAATAGTGGGGAGGGGGTGGGGTGGGGTGGTGCGTTTACACCAATAAAACAGAGAGATGAACCAGTGGGTTTGGCTGATTCTTCCCTGGGGCATCTCTGGGTGTCCCACTGGGGGTCTGCGTGGTGGTAGGTGCTGGCTGCTTGTACAAAACCTGGCTGCAGCTGGTTGGACCGCTTCCTCGCAGAGATGCTGCTTTCCCCAAGCCACCTGCAGCATCCTGTATCTGAGCTGGGAGATGACTGCCTCTCCTTAGCGAGGCCAGGGGGAACCCATCGGCTTATGGACAGGCTGGCAGGTGCTAGGCTAAGGAGACACTTGGAAATACCAGCTTGAACCCCTGGGGGCTCGCAGCAGGAGTCCTGCACCTCCTCTGATGCCCACGGTCCCTGGTGCCGTCCTGCTGTCACCACCTGCTACCGGTCACTGGTGGTACAGCAGGATGCTGAGCCCCTTGCCACGGGAAGCCCTGGTGCCCACATGCAGCGTGCTGAGCTCTGGGCAATGCCCTGTCGCTCCTGGTGCCATAAATTCGTGGTCCCACTGACAAGGTTTCCAGCCCTCCTCAGCCCTGGCTCTGGGTGGAAAAGCACTGCAGTGAGGGGCTGGTGCAGCTGTGTGTCCTCCCACGTGTGCTGTCCCCATAACAGCCATCATGGGCTGTACGTGAGTAACGGGAGGCCTCTGGCCCACGTCAGAGCAGAGGTCGGGTGCCCACATGGGGTAAGCTCTGTCCTGCAGCATCTGGGATCAGCTCCAAAGGAAGCTCCCGGGCCAGAAACCGCATTTGAGCACTGTGTTGAATCGTTACTGCTGGACTACCGATGAATTGTTACTCTCCGGGTTGGTTTCACCCTTTTTCAGGCTGTTTTGCATCTCAGGGCTTCTCAACTTCTTGTGGTTTCCAGTTTCCCGCTGCCATGGTACTGGGTCGGGCAGAGCACCGTGGTCCTGTCCCGGACTATCTCACCACCTACAGCTCCTATTTGCAGTCTGAGAAGTGGGGACTGCGTCCCCTGCCAGTGCTGCCTGCTCCAGTCATGACTTTCATGGCTCCGCATGCTCTTCCCACCAGCCCTTTGGTCATCACGTTTTACTTGTTCATGAAACACGCGTATCAAAGAGACATCCCCAAGAAAATTAACTGAACCTACTCACTGTTAGTTATCAAGGCTGCTGGTGCTCAGCGAAACTCCTGGAAAGCACCTGGGCTGCATGGCATGCCTTCCCCAAAGATACCTCATTCATATATTCCTGCTCCAGTCTTCATATCCACGGTGTAGGAGCATGTGTGTTTAAATATAATTTTATTATATTTCAGACAATAACTGTTAGCTTGCTCTGAGTATTTCTATTTTTGATCTTCCCTGAGCACATCCTTAATTCCCTTTAAATGTGAATCTGGGACAGAGGGAGTGAGACGGATGCAGGTGTGTTACCGATACGTTTCTCCTCTGGAAAGCAGACCTAGGAGTCGGATGTGATTAGGTGTTAGAAGAGTATCCAAATGGTAATAAAGCAAACTGGCTTCAAATCAAGTTGGCTGCGAAAGGAAATGCCAAATTGTCATTTAATTGTCACAAGATGGTCTAGATAGAGTTGCTTTTGTCTCCTCTTTGCCCAGACTGAATTAGAGCTATTTCTTGTCTCCTCTTTGCTCTTTGCCCAGACTGAATTAGAGCTATTTGCATACCTAACGCTCCGCACTACCAGCACCAACGAAGCCCCCCCTGCACCAGTGTACCTATGAGCAAATGACAGTCCCTGGGGCACTCCCAGCACAGTTATTTTAAAAGGGAGCCGGCAGTGTTTGAAGCTGCTTTGGTGTTTGCCAAGTTATTTGCTGCATTGCAACATGCTGAAACCCCCCTCTCCCACGCAGGGCTGGCAGGTGCAGGCGGGGCGCTGGACCTGGACAGTGACACCCTTGAAAGAGGCAGGGAGGAGCGGCCCCGGGTGCTGACGTGGGTGGCTGAGCAGACAGGGACTTTCTGCAATCCCTGTTCAGGTTTGACCGGTACTTCCATACCACGTGCCGATTTTTGCACAGATGCAGTTGCGGAGGCAGAGTGGTGAAAGGGCAATTTTCCCAACGGGGCAGGAGAAAACACGTGTCTGCTGCCCGTAAACTTCTGCTTCCCTTGAGAAAATTTTCTAAAAGTGTTACTGGCTCACCACGGCCGTCGAGAAGAGCAGCGCAAGTTCCTCTTGGGGAGTTTTTTGGAAGAGGGTGCAAAGGGCCAGTTCAGAGCAAAGCACTCTCAAGCACGAGAGGGGCCGGCTGGGCACACCGGGGCTGGGCGGGCGCCTGCCTCCCCTCTCCTTCCTGCACCGTGGCAAGGAAAGGGACTTAAACCGGGGAAAACCCAAGCTACTACTCTGCTGTTCTGCCCCCCCCCCCCCCCCTCCCTTCCCCCCCCCCCGCTCACCACGGCCGTCGAGAAGAGCAGCGCAAGTTCCTCTTGGGGAGTTTTTTGGAAGAGGGTGCAAAGGGCCAGTTCAGAGCAAAGCACTCTCAAGCACGAGAGGGGCCGGCTGGGCACACCGGGGCTGGGCGGGCGCCTGCCTCCCCTCTCCTTCCTGCACCGTGGCAAGGAAAGGGACTTAAACCGGGGAAAACCCAAGCTACTACTCTGCTGTTCTGCCCCCCCCCCCGGATTGTTCCCCCAGTGTGGTCATGCAGACACCTCTCTGCAAATGCAGCAGTTAGCCTATAAGTGGGGAAGGCAAAACCTGCTTCTCTAACCCTGCTCGGGTCATTTCTGGCTGTGCTAAACCTCACAGCAGAGCTACTTCAGCCCTGTCAATGTTAATCAGCTTGATAGCTGACCTTTGGGAGGACGTAGGAAGCGAGGCCGTGTCAGGAGAGGGCTGGAGGGCAAGGGGAACCGCAGTGCTCTTTCGTCCCTGCGCTTTCATTGGGAAGGGGCCAGCGGTATGTTGCTGCGTGTCTCACAGGAGTGGCTCTGCCAGCCGCAGAGCGGGACCCAACCCCAGCAAACATTTCCTCCCGGCCGTGAGCAAAGGCAGGAGAAGCTGCACTGCTTAAGGAGGAGCAGGCAGGGAGATGCTGGGCTTTGCCTGCACCCAATGCCCTGGGTCACAGCCCAACACGCTGCCGAGCCCCTGCGGAGGGTGCGGGGGGCTTTGGCCAGGGGCTTTTCTGGCCAAGCTCGGGGAGATTAGAGCCTTTCGATGATGAGGGAAACAGCTGTTAGCTTTAAGTGCAGGCAGGGCTGCTGCTGGCGCGTGCCTGCCTGCAGGGCTTTCCCTGCACGGGGGTGTCAGCGCCCCCAGCTATGCCTGGGAACGTCCCCTCTGAGGACGTACAGCCCCAGCACAGGGAGACTGCAGGAGCCCGAACCTCCGGGGCTGGGGGGAGAGGCAGGCAGCTCGGCTGGATTTTGATTTTAATTGCCTCCTTGGTTTTTCCAGCCTGCTTGCCCGTTGTCAGGGGCCGAGTGCTGGAAAGCAAGGGCTGTGTGTCCCCTGCCTGGCCCCACTGATGGGCATCACCGGTCCATTTTCCCAGCAAGGGGGTTGTGGGGAAACAGCCTGGAGCAAAGCAGCAAGCTTGGCATGCTCAGGTCATCAGGAGATGCTGAGGGTCACTCCTTTCTCCAGGTGTTGCCTGTCACCACCAACATCTCCGACCAGGAGAAGATGGGGAGGAGGTGACAGCAGTGAAGCCACGTGTCCTGTTGCACTCTGGGGCTCACTTCCAGCCCCTCTGCTCCCAAACCGGATGGTTTGTTTTCTTTGAAACGTGGCTTTTTCCTGGCAACAACAGTAATTGCGGTGTGTGGCGGTGGAGGCACGGTGGGAAGTGCCTGAGGAGATGCCTGCCCCATGGGCAGAAGGGATCCTCGCCAGCTGCTCCATCCTGGTGCCCCCTCCCTGGGGCTGGCACCTCATCCAGCAGGAGCTGAGTCTGCTGATGCTGTCACCTCCACGGTGACAGGAGTGTCGCCAGCGCAGCTGGTCCTGCCACAGTCGGATGCCTGGCGTTTGTCCAGAGGGCTGTGCTCATTAAAATTAAGGGCCTGTTTCACTATAGTGGATCCCCTTCTAATTATGCCCCAGCTATTTCGTGTGACTCATTACAGGCGATTCAAGCAGTGCTGTGCTGGGCTGACATCACTTTGCAGCCCAGTGAGCCCTGGGTGGCAGCGGCCCCGTCCCTGGGGAGGGCCGGACCTCCGGTGGCCCTTGGACGGGGGCAACGTGGGAGGCGGCACCTGGAGGCCACACCGCCTTCCAGGTTTGGGGCTGGCCCTGGGATGCTAAATCTGGGTCATCCCGCTGGTCCTCCTCAGCCCAGCACCATCTGCACCGGGACATCAGGCACAGCGCAGGCAGGGGGGATGCGGGGGTCGTCTCACCTGCCCGTCCTGTTTGGAGGCGGTGGGAGACCTTACAGGAGGTGTTACCTCCAGGTGCCACCGGGAAGTTGCCAAATTAAAGAACAGAGGTGCTGACAGCAACAGATAAAAATAACTTTACATCACAGCTTCGCTAGGTCACCACTACAGGGCTCCTGGGACCTGTCCTGAGTGCGCTTTGCCGGCAGCCTCAGGGAGCTGGGACAGGCCATCCACGAGGCTCAGCCTTTCCTTCGGCCATTCTTCACTCCTGCTCCTCCAAAATCACCTTTATTTTCTTGTGGGCATAGGGTCTGGCTTTGTGGGGGGTTATTCCAGAAAGCCGCTTGCCGGAGCTGGGAGATAAGGAGCCGGAGCAGCATCTTGGTGAGCATGGCATAACGCTGCACCCAGTCCTCGCCCTCCTGCCCTCCCTGGCCAGCACCACCATGTCCTTCAGGTTTTTTATCAGGACCTGGTCCTTTCTCCGTGTCTCCAGCACCTCCAGCACTGTGCGCTGGGCTCGCCGTGTGATCCTGCTCTCCTCCTCGCTCAGCTCCTCCGACACATCTTCGCTGTGGGGCAGGAGGCAGCAGGAGCTCACGGTCACAGCCTTGGTGTGGATGAAGGTGGCTTCATGGCAGGGCATCCTGGAGGGGCAGATGGGTCAGGACCCAGTGGCAGGGACAGCCTCATCCCAAAGGACCCCAAAGGGACCTGATCCTCTTACCAGGTGATGAAAAGATGTGGCGGATGTAGCTATTTCCCCACTTTTCACTTTAGGACCCAACCCTAGTGCTCCCCTCGCAGGGCATGGTGTGAGCTGTGGGATGGGGTCCTGTGTCCCAGCTGCACCCAGTTAACCTGGGCATCTTCAGCCCTCACTGGTTTAGAGGGAAACCCGCAGTGCCCAGTGCTGGCAGCCTCCACCGTGAGGCCAGCCCCTGTCTCCCGCTTTGTCCCCTCTCTCTGTGCCGCAGGATGGCCGGGGAGGATGGAGCAGGGTCCAGAGCAGGTAGGAGCTGGAGGAGCATGTCTGCCAGGGAAAGCCTCAGGGCCTTGCCCCAGCAGGGCCCCCTTTCACCCCCATCCATCCTCTGCCTCCCCCATTTCGGTTTCACCCCGCACCCCTTGCCTATGGCACCCATGGGGTCCTGCTGGAGGTCCCACCATGGGACAGCTGATGGTGCCCCTGGCTTCTCACCTGCACTGTGCCCCCCCATCGGGGGGACGGGGCCCATGGTCCACAGTGGGTGCTGCAGGAGCAGGCAGCTGCTGGCACCGTGCTGGTGATCCCAAGTGGGGGCAGTGCCAGTGTAAGCACCGGCTTTTAACTGATAGGGGCTGTGCCTGGTGCTGGTAAGAGGCACGGGAGCAGAGGGGCCGTGGGTACCACAGGGGGGCACCCCATGGGCAAGTGGGTCCTGCATGGGGTCCTGGGTGTTGGCAGGGGTGCAGGGTGCTGCTCTGGCACGGGGAATTTGTGGAGCACCCCCCAAAGCACCCCATCTGCCCCCCCACCTTGCATCAGCCCCCAGAGGGGCGCTGGTGGGGTGCTGGTGGGGTGCCCACCCTGCCCCGGGGAGGGATTCGACAGTCAGGGTTCGGCTCTGGCAGTTCCTGCTGCTGGT